TTTTCAGCTTCTCCCCAGATTGCCGCTGCGCGTGCGCCAGCCAGAGGCGGAACACCTCGTATGCTCTGCTGCGCGCCTCTACGTTTACGACCCAAACGTAGCGCGTCCCGGTGTCAACGAAGTTAAGCATGTACAGCTCATCGTTGATTCCGCAATGCCCCACGTTCAGGAAGTCACTGTACACTTTGTGCAGCTTGGTGTAGCGGTTGGTTCCTGGTTCGAGCAATGGGAACGGCTGGTGACTCAGCGCAGCCTTGGGGAAGACGGTGCAGTTGCGCGGGTGTGACGTGTTTCTTACGTTGGTGGCGTCAGGGCGCAAGAGGGCGACGGGCGCAAACACGCCTGCGTCGATGCACTTCTTCAGTGTTGCGCGCGAGGGGTGACCGAGGCGCTGGTGCCAAAGGTCGTCGCTTGCGCGGAATCCGGAGGTGCGCATGTAGCGCGCGCGCACTGTCTCGGGATCTTCTTCTGGCACTAGGGCAGGTTCTGCTGCTGCTTCTTCAGCTTCGTCTTCATCGCTCTGTCGTCTTCAGCATGAGCGCCAAAAATTCTATGTCAAGATTGATGGAGAGAAGAATGTTGGTGCCGGGAATGGTGCCAGGGACGAAGGTAGGCTCGCGCGGCTCAGGAGCAGGTCTGTAGGTTGTGCGGCGTGGGGTCGACGGTTCGATGCCCCAGGCGATGGTGTCCTAGGGGTCGCGGTGCGGCTGGACATCAGGGGGTGGCAGCGGAGGTACGGGAAGACGAGGGGGACGACCGAGGGGAACAACGCGTGGCTCGGCTTCTTTCTCTTCTTCCCCCCTTTGTTCTCCTCGCCAGGCGCTCCACCCTTCACCGGAAGTGCCCCATCCATTGGTGTCGCCGCCAGTTGCGGTGCCCCAGCCGCCAGAGTCGCTCGTTCCCCATCTGCCAGCGCTTCCCCACCCCCCTTCATTGGAGGCACTTTCTTCCTCCTCGGCTCCCCAGGCACCGCAGGCAAATGCCCCGCGTGCTTCAGCGAGGCTCTTCTGGCGGAATTCTTCGGCTTCGCGGCGCGCCAACTCTTGTTCCACGGTGAGGGTCGTCGTGGGGTCGCGCTAGTAGGGGGTACAGCGTTATGAACGCTTCTTTTGTGTAAGGACGCGACACACCTCGCGCGTCGAAGGTTCCGCGACGTTGGCCGCGTAGAATGTTCTCGAGCCGCTGGGAGGGGGGACCTGCGAGTGGGCTCTGGTTGGTGCCGAAGATGTGGTAAGAAGCCACTTCCAGCTCCAACGCCAACATGCCTTCTTCAGGCGGCGCGGCTTGTTCAGCTTCGGCGATGGCGGCGAGGCAGCAGCCGGCGATGGCGCTTGTTGAGGCAGTGGGCGTGTGACAATCCCGGCAGATGCCGTTGGGGTCAGGGTCGTGCAGCGCCAGCTAGCGCGGGTGAGGGTGATGTGGCACCCACGGTCGTCCGTCAGGGTGCTTCCAGTCCGAGCGATGAATGTGCTCGAAGCGCAGTGGAACGAGATCAAGCAGCTCGTTCGAATCGCCGCTGTAGTCGGGAATGTCGAAGTCAGGGATGTACACCCCATTCTCGGAGTGCGCTCGTCCGATCTGCCTTCGTGGTTTTGTCGGCGATGAGTAGTGAAGCAGGATGTTGCGTGTGCGAGGATCCGTGCTGAGTTCGACGCCGCAATCCATGAGTTGAGCGGCGGATAGCAGGTTGAAGCGCAAGTTCTGGACTATGAGCACATCGTTTAGGGTGATGTGCGTGCGCCTTCCGCGTGCTTTGAGCACGACGATGCCTTGCGCGCTTGCGCGCAGGCGAGTGTTGTTCGCCACGGTGACATAGGTGACCGCGGAGGTTGGGCCGGCATTGGAGACGAAACGCTCGGAGCCCACCATGTGCTGGCCGCAACAGCTGTCCAGGTACCAGGTGTTGTAGTGCTTGTTGTCATCACGTGCGAGCAGCGCCAATCGCGGCGTGACGATGTGCGGAGTGTCAAACTTCAGAAATTGTTCGCACGAGATCCAATTGATCGGTGCCGCCCGCGAATCTGGTACGTGCGGGAGGCTTTCAAGCAGCGGGACTGGCAGGTTCCAGTCTTGTTTGTCGTCGTCGTGGAAATCACGGCGTGTGCTCAACGGATTGTTATTCGTGAACGCCCCGATTGGATGACGTGCTGGCTCCGGAGACGGTGTGCGCTCGCGGGGACGGCTAGATTCGCCTGTCATGGTCATGTTCCCCATGACGTTGCGGACTGGGCCAGGCGGTGACGGTTGCTGCTGCTCATGCTGAACCGCTGGGTTCAGGTTGCGCGATGGGGGTTGGTGCCCCTGGGCTGGAAGCATGTCGTTTCGTGCGTCTTGTCGGCCGGACCAGGTGCTCGGATTGGTCTGGCGAGGGCGAGATCGGAATTTGCATCGATCTGCCAGGTGCCCAAAATTTCTGCAGATCTTGTAGTGAAGGCGCCGTGGCCGTCGCTCTTCTGTGTTGTCCGCGTAGAAGGCGAGGCGTTCCCTTTCTTGTCGCGGAGCTGGTCGCTGCTGATTCATGTCTCTCTGTTCGACGAGTAGGGCGGCGCATTGGGCGGCCTCTCAGATGACCCCCTGCTGTCGGAGAAGCGCCTTGCAGGGCCGCCACTCTGGGCCGAGCCCTTGAAGCACGATGTTCACAAAAATTTCCTCCGAGATCGTGCTCCCCAGTTTCGCGATGTAATTGCGTAAGCTCCGACAGCAATTAATATAGCTATTGGCCTTCTCCCGTGGGGCCATTTTTATCTCCAGTAGCTACAGGAGCAGGCGGCTTTAAGAAACCGAGTCTTTCGGTTGATACACGCCGTTCAGGTGGCGCCAGGCGTCAAGGGCTGGAGCAGATGATGTCTTGTACGATCGAATGCTCAGCTGCTCCGCCGGCGACATGTTTCTCAGCAAGACGCCGTACGCCATCAACGATTCGTTGTAGTACTGCGCCCTGGCGTTGGTAGTGTCTTCAGCAGGTCCCGCGTAGCTCCCGTTGAAAAAGTGGAATATCTGCGTGTTTTGCAATAGCAGCTCCAGCTCGAAGCTCCATGTATAGAAGTCTCTGCCGTCTAAGCAAGCACTTGTCTTTATTTTTGATATGCTGAGAAACCTTGATTGCGCAGAGAGAATTGCTTCTTCGCTGGGACGGGGAGTCCTGGGAATTGAGCCATTAGTGTCAAGGGAGAAGATGTGCGGGCGGTATTATAGCAGTTCGAGACCGGTTGAGAGGGTCGGGAAGCTGTTTTCGCGTCGCCATCCTGCAATGTTTGGAGTCTTTGCTCCAAGTTCGTGAGTCGCTGAAGCAGTTGTTCGAGGACCGCGGTGCCAATGGTTTTCGTCGCCTCGTTTCTCGCAACCGGGTTGGGTTGCGCTGCAGCCGTCAGATTCGTCTGACCTCTAGATCCTCCGGCCATTCTTACGCGTGAGCGTGTGCCGGACGCCACTTTAGTTTGCCGATGATTTCGTTGTGGCGTTGCGAAGGTTTCCCGAGTAGCTCTTATATCATGTTGCGATTAGAAGTTGATCGTAACCTAGGATCGTCTTGGGAAGGTTCGCACAGAGTCGTGCAATTGGTGGTGGACCCTGGACCTCAATTCAGAGTGAATGTAAAATGATTGAGATGATAAAAACGTGCAAACATTGGCATATAAGTAACCTAGCGAATACGAAACGACCAGGCGAATACGAAACGACCTAGCTAGCCATGTACTCTAAGGGGTGCATTCCCTTATTCGAATTCAAACCCAACAGTGCGACTCGAACAATTACGAAACTGTTCCCACCATTCCCTTCGCCTATGCAGCTGCCGATGCCGTTTCATGCCGACGGTCCAGATACATCCAACTATGTGCGTCGCTTCGAGTCACTTCTGACTCTTCGTTCTTTCATGCTTCGATACTGCGTGGCTCATTTTCTGCTGTCAGGAGTGCACAGGTCTTTTCTTGATTCACCAATTCACCATTCATAACAAGTGTAAACGTATTTTTTCTGTAGATCCCATGTGTTGTTATTGCATAGATCTAAAACAGTTTTCCCAACCACAAAAAGCAATGCAAACCTAAAACGGAAATAGGTAAAATTTCTCGTGTTCTTATTTTGAAACACTTAAAATTTGATGCAAATAATGTGGATAATAATATTCACCTGCACTTAAGCACTAATATGACCTACTCTTCTAGCTTGCAATTTGACATTTATGCCACCCACATGAGACAGGAGTTCGGCTACTAAAATTCTAAACGAAGACTTCCAAGACAGCGGTTCTTGGCGGAGTTGACACGGGGAACTGGTTGGTCAAGTTGGTGATGAGGTTTGTGCATGGTTTGGTTTGGACAAGTGACCAGCTGAAACTATCCGTGACTCAACAACAGTGACAATAGAGGTCTGTCGTGCTGTGGAATAGCGAGTGTGACTGCAGGCATAGCATCTGACAAATTGTTTTTTTCATCGTGATTGTGCTATTGGTTGCCTGAAGCTGCCCGTGGTGGAATTTGGGTTGATGAGGGTTGGATGAAAGAGACGTGCATTTTTTGTTTGGTGAGCACACATGCAATTTCATCTGCGGTGTGGAACGTTTTACTGCTTCCCAGCCTTCTCGTCGTGTCTGCGAAAAACGCGATTTTTCTCCAGGTTGTGTTACCCTTCGTCCAGGTGGTTTGCACATTCGAACGGTTGATGCTGGGGCTGTTCACTGAGTTGCTGCCCATCCACCTGAATGCAAACGACCCCCATGACACGAACAAACCACCTGAAGCACACAACCAATACGACGACCCCCCGAAAACGACAAGCCAAGACCAAATCAACCCCTCCATGTCCCCACACCACGGCTGTTACTCCCGATAACTCCAACCCTAGTCCCTATCCCAACTTCGTCCCCCTGCTCCCTTTCTCAGCTTTCTTTCCCAACCCCTTGTGAATCATCCGTAGTTTGTCTGGATAGTTGTCCTTAGACAGTGGCCTCGATTCCCCTTGGACGCACTGAGCATTGGAATTCGAGGTAGAGATTAGAGATGGGTAGGTCAGTCGTATTCTGCGTGTTTTTGGCACTCCTAGTTCCATATGTCCTCGCTGGCCCCACCAATACAGTTGGCGGTACTAATACCGTTGGCGGCACGAACACCGTTGGCGGCACGAACACCGTTGGCGGCACAAACACCGTTGGTGGCACAAAAACCGTCGGCGGCACAAACACCGTTGGTGGCACAAACACCGTCGGCGGCACAAACACCGTTGGTGGCACGAACACCGTTGGCGGCACGAACACCGTTGGCGGCACGAACACCGTTGGCGGCACGAACACCGTTGGCGGCACAAACACCGTTGGCGGCACGAACACCGTTGGCGGCACGAACACCGTTGGCGGCACGAACACCGTTGGCGGCACGAACACCGTTGGCGGCACGAACACCGTTGGCGGCACGAACACCGTTGGCGGCACGAACACCGTTGGCGGCACTAACACCGGTGGCAGTACCACCAGCGGCGGCAACACAAACAGCGGCGGTAGCAGCAGCTCCGGCGGTAGCACGACTTCGTCCGGCGGCACGGGACTGAAGGTCAACTCCACCCTTATCTACCCCGGACAGGAGGGTTCGCAATATGGCAACTGCCCGCCGTTCAAGTGTACTCCCGGGTCCCACTATAACGGAACCTTCACGGACTCTGATAGCGAGGATATTTCGTACGAGTGGCTGTTCTCCAAGCCGCTGATGAAGAACGATCCCGAGTCGCCGGAATGGGATGTCGCCCTCGAGACGCCGTTCTTCGATTGCTGGAAGATTTGCAAGATGGCAAAAGTCGATATCCCGCAGATCAAGTACTGGCAGTACGAGGAGACCTGCGACGTGGGAGGTAAGGGGCATTGCGGAGCTTAGTACATGCGCTACCGTTTTTTGGTTTCTTGTAGGTTGAGGTTTTTTTGTGTGTTTTTTTTTTGTGGTTTTTTTTTTTTTTTTTCTTCGGTGTGTAGTTATTACTCTTCCTGTGCCAGTACTGATCGACTTGAGCTTCCCTGGCTGTTCGTTGTTTTCTCGCTCCGTTCTTCAGGCGTGTGCTCGTGCTTCGACGAGGGTGTCTGCACGCAGAACCATTTCAACCCTGACAACACGATGAACTTTTTCTTTGATTCCACAAACGATTACCAGCCTCCTTCCACCTTCTACGTCGGAAAGGTCTGCGACGGTAACGTTACCGGCGATCCCCATTTCGTTGGTGCCGACAAGTCGCGGTTCGACTTCAGCGGCCAGCCCGGCGAGAACTTCGCTCTGATCTCCGACGCGCATATCGCTGTGAACGCGTATTTCGGCGGGCGCGTCGAGAAGGAGTGGATGGGCCAGAAGAACAAGGTGATGACGTGGATGCGTAACATCGCGGTTCTCTGGGGTCACCACTCCGTCGTCTTCGAGGCTCGGCCTGGACCTGATGCTGAGTACGGTGCGGGTTACCTCAAGGCGATCTACGTCGATGGCGAGAAAACGAGCCTGTCGTTCCCTGGCGAGAAAATGTACCTGTTCGATGGTTCGGTTGAGCTCAAGTGGGTGGACGCGAGGAAGAAGGTTGGCGACGATCTGGTCGACATTTACGAGATTTCGGTTGCCGAAATCATCACCCTGCGACTGATTTTGAGGCCTGAGATCAAGCTGATGAGGACCAAAGACGACGGGCTTGTGCACTTCACAGTCGAGGTCGTCAGCGCGCAGCTCTCCGCCAACGTGCACGGAGTTCTTGGGCAAACCTACCGCCCGGATTTCGCCGGCCGACTGTAAGTTTATTCACCAATTTATTTATGATTTACTGTACGTATTCCCTCATTCCGATGGTTTCGAAATCGTGCTGTCTAATGTTTTCTCTTATTCCATTTCCTTTTGCAGTGAGAAGCAGACTCTTGTCTGGAGCAAACTCCTTAAGGCGTACGTGGTTCCGGGTGACAATGCCGAGGGCTTCATTGATGGCACATGGGAGGATTACAAGACGTCAGAGCTCATGCGGTCCGACTGCAACTACTGCCGTTTCGTACGCGGTACAGCGATGGACGACGAAACCGCTAGCGCCGTCGCCATGGCGACGTCCGTCAGCTCGTCATACAGTGCTCTCGGCAGGAAGGGCATGATTGACGCCCTGTAAACAGGCGAAGGCGATTTCCTTGTATTTTATTGTTCCATTGTAACACTTAAAAACGGCCAGGCTCAAACGAACGGCCTCGCGTCGGGTTGCTCGGTGGCTGTGGAGCATTTTGTGTTTCTCTAGCAAAATATATTCCATTCTATTTGTGTTTGAATCATCAATAACATTACTAGTGAGCATACTCTAACCCAATCTATATCAATCTATTTGAAAACGATGATATGAAAAGTGAAAGGTGCATCAGTGTCTAAATGGAACGAAGCGCTTTGCAAATATGCTTTTATTACCACCATTCTTAATCTAGGTGCAGCTAGATGCAGTACTGGCCATTCTTAAGCTAGGTCCTTAACTATCAGCTCAAGCACAATGGTGTGGAGTCCACACTCAGCCAACACTGCGTCGGCAGCACAGCTTTCTCATTGGTACAGCTATTGCAAGTATACAAGACATCTGTACCTCATTTTTATTTCCCCGCTGGAGCCGCCCGCTCGCAAAACCCTCTTTCATTCACCTCCTTCAGCATCCAGCTGACAATGCCTTAGTCCTCAAAACAGCTTCCTGGATCATTATCACCCCAATAAAACCGTCTAGAATGTACCTTAACCCAGCAGCTCCATTGTCAGCACCCGTTGAAGTTTTCCTAGACAGTGCTTTCTCTACCCGCTCGGGCTTCCTCTAGCTAGCAGTAACGACCCTCATCTCCTGCAGCCGCAGGAGATCTCTAACCATAACCGACCGGTGTGCCTCTGCTCTTCAACAGAGAAAGTGTTAGAAAGTGCTATATAGAGCTAGAAAGTGCTATAAAGTGCCTCCTTTACCCGCTGCTACAGCAGCCCTTCGGATCTCCTGCAGCTGCTGCAGAACCGTCGCCATATCCGGCCGATCCTGCCGCTGCTCCGCCACACAGTGCTTGGCCAGCGTTGCCAGCTGTCGCACCCCTACTTCAGGATACCCCCCTGCAGCATGGGGTCGGCATAGTGCCGCAAGGGCAGCACCAGGTCCTGCCTCTGCTGCTCTGCAACACAGCTCTCCTCTCGCCGCCATCAGTAGCTATCAACCCACCTAGAGAGTCCCTCCTCATCGACCTGTTCGGGCACTCACTTTCGAAGAAACGTCACTGATCTCTTTCAGCTGCGCCAGAACCGTCGCCATGTCTGGCCGGTCGTGCCGTTGCTCCGCCACGCAGTGCTTCGCCAGCTGCCCTGTCCCCACCTCGGGATACTCTCGGTACAGTGCTCCAATGGTAGGGCTAGGTCCTGTTCCTGATCTCCCTCAACTGTGTCAGTACCATCGCCATGTCCGGCCAGTCCTGCCATTGCTCCGCCACGCAGTGCTTGGCCAGCGTTGCCAGCTGCCGCGCCCCCACCTCGGGATAATGCCCATAATGCCGTGAGGGGAGAGCTAGGTCCTGCCCCTAATCTCCTTCAGCTGCAGCAGCACTGTGCTCATGTCTGGCCGGTCGTGCCGTTGCTCTGCCACGCAGTGCTTGGCCAGCGTTGCTAGCTGCCTGGCTGCCACCTCGGGATACTCCCCATGTAACTTGGGGTCCGCATAGTGCCGTGAGGGGAGAGCTAGGTCCTGGAACTGCTGCCGGCATGCGGTTACCAGCTGGTTACCCTTTTCTAAGACTCGCTGCCCGGTGAGAAGTTCGAGAAGAATTACCCCAAAGGAGTAGACGTCACTCTTGGCTCCCAGGTGGCCTGGTGGAGGGGAGGGCGGGGGGCAGGGTATGGTTTAGTGTGGTAACCAGTGTTACCAGCTAATTACCCTTCTCGAGCACCCGCTGGCCGGTTAAGAGTTCTAAGAGGATGACCCCGAAGGAGTAGACGTCGCTCTTGGCTCCCAGGTGGCCTGGTGGAGGGGAGGGTTGAGGGAGAAGAGTACGGTTTAGAGTGGTTACCAATGTTGTTACCACTGCCTTGTGAGAAGTTCCAGGACCCCAGTTGGCTCCAGTTGACCCTTGTGAGGTTTTCTTGTAAGAAGTTCCAGGAGGATCACCCCGAAGGAGTAGACGTCACTCTTGGCTCCAGTTGACCCCAGTTGACTGCAGTTGACCCTTGTTAACTGCAGTTGACCCTTGTTGACTGCACAAGAACCTACCAGTCTCAAGGTGGCTGGGGTCGATGTACCCCTCGGTGCCCATGATCCTGGTTGACCCGATTGACCACAGTTGACCGCCGTTGATCACATGCAGACAAAAAAACCTACCAGTCTCCAAATAGGTAGGATCGATGTATCCCTCGGTGCCCATGATCCGAGTTGACACGATTGACCGCAGTTGACCGCCCGGACCCACCCGCACCATGCCGAAATCCGTGAGCTTTGCTGAGTAGTCCTGAGGAAGTGGCGGGGTGTAGAAGGGCATTGAGGGGGTGGAGGGGCGTTTTGAGAGGTAGAGAGGCATGCGGGGGATAGAGTTGCAAATATCCGCAATATTCGGCAGCATTTACCGGCTTGAGAAGCACATTGGCGGCATGATGTCCCGATGGATGAAGTTGCAGCGATGCATGAATACGAGTGCCTCTGCCACCTCCACCTCCACTGCCACCTTGAGTCGCTTGGGCCAGCTGAAGTGGAGTTCGCCCTTGGCACCTAGAAGAGGGGAGGAGTGGGGAGGAGTGGGGAGGAGTGGGGAGGAGTGGAAGAAGGGAAGGAGAAGGGAAGGAGAAGGGAAGGAGAAGGGAAGGAGAAGGGAAGGAGAAGGGAAGGAGAGGAGAGGATTGGAGACGGAGAACAGAAGGTGAAGTTGCAGACGACCCCCTTCCATTACCCCCTCCCTCCCATCACTCACTGTCAATCAGGGCGTAGTCCAGGCCTTCCCCTTCCATTACCCCCTCCCTCCCATCACTCAGGGCGTAGTCCTGGCTTTCCCCTTCCATAACCTCATACACCAGGAACGCCCCGCCGTCCACACAGTACCCCCACAGCTGTACCAGGTGCGTGTGGTTGGGGCGACCCAGGGAAGTAAGGAAGTAAGGAAGGAAGGAAGGAAGGAAGGAAGGAAGGAAGGAAGGAAGGAAGGAAGGAAGGAAGGAAGGAAGGAAGGAAGGAAGGAAGGAAGGAAGGAAGGAAGGAAGGAAGGAAGGAAGGAAGGAAGGAAGGAAGGAAGGAAGGAAGGAAGGAAGGAAGGAGGCAAGCAAGCAAGCATGCACACCCATCACTCACTGTCGATTAAGGCGTAGTCCAAACTCCCCCCCTCCATGAGCTCATACACCAGGAACGCCCCGCCGTCCACACAGTACCCCCAGAGCTGCACCAGGTGCGCGTTGGCCAGCCGCCCCAGCACCAGCACCTCCCTCAGAAACTCCACTTTCAAGGGGTTTGACGGGATTCAAAGGGGTTGAGAGGTGCTTACTGTCAATGAGCGCGTAGTCCAAACTCCCCCCCTCCATGAGCTCATACACCAAGAACGCCCCTCCGTCCACACAGTACCCGAAGAGCTGCACCAGGTGCGCGTGGGCCAGCCGCCCCAGCACCAGCACCTCTTTTAAAAACTCCTCTTCGCCCTGCTTCGACTCCTCCCTCAGTTGCTTCACTGCCACCAGCACCATTGCTCCCTGCCCCATATCCGCTGCTTCTCCTCCACCTCTCTCCCCACTCCCTCCTCTTGCCCCATTCACCCCTCTCTCAAGGAGTTCACACCTGATGCTTCCCCTGTACACCTTCCCAAACCCGCCTTCCCCGATAAGCTGAGCTGGCGCGAACCCGTTGGTCGCTGCTGCCACGTCATCGTAAGAAAACCGGAGCAGGGAGTCTGGCACAATCGCCGATAAGGCCTCGTCGGGCAGGTCGAGAAATTTTCCCGGGGAGGAATTTGACCGCGGGACACCCGCCGGACGTTTGTTTGCAACCTGCCCGTTCCTCTGCCCGTTCCCGTCCCCCTGCTGTTGTTCTCTAAAACCCTGCTCGTATTTACAACCCTCTTGCTGCTGCTGGTGGTGTTGCTGGTCATGGTCGTGGTGGTGGTGGTGCTGCTGCTGCTGATGCTTGCAGTATGGATTGCCAGGTGAATCTAAAGACCTAACAGGAGAACCTAGAGACCTAGCAGGCGATGCTCTCTCAGCATAAGCATTTAAAGACCTATTTGACGACGATCTACTATGTGAAGCCCTATGTGAAGATCCTAGCTGTATTCTGGCAGGCGATCTCCTTCTAGACCCAACCCCCCCTCCTCCGCCTCCCCCCAACTCTCCCGCCACATCCCCCCCACTCCCTCCGCGCATGCTCCCCCCTCCCCCATTACCCCCTCCCCCTCTCCCCCCCCGTCCCTCCCCCACGCCCTCCTCCTCCCCGCCAGCTGATAGGCTGCGCGGGTGCGCTCCCGCTGGAGCCCTGGGGGGCTTGCTCCTGGGTGGATTGGCGGAAGGGGGAGGGTCTTGCGCGGACGGGGGAAGATGTTGCGCCGAAGGAGTGTTCTCGGCGGAAGGGGGGAGTTTTTGGGCGGGTCGAGGGTACTGGGGCGGAAGGGGGTGCTGGGAGTTGTGTTCCGCGGATGGATGGGGGGACGGCTTAGGGGGAAGTAGAGAGGGGGGAAGAGGCGGAGCAGGAGGAGCATTGGTGGAAGCGGAGAAGAGGGAGGCGGTGAGAGGGGGAAGAGTGGTTTCTGCTTCGGGGTTGCCTGCAGGAATGGACCGTGGGGGTGGGATGGGGGAGGTTGGATTGGAGGGGCAATGGGAAAGGGTATGGAAGAAAGGAAAACAGGGGAAGATAAGTCGGAAGGGAGAATCTCAAAAAGGGACGTACTGCAAACCCTAGCCTGTATTGGTTACGCGCTCAGGACTGCAAGATTACATTCATGATTGTTTCCGTTGGACAAACGTACGTGAAATGAAATGTACGCATGACGTACGTAAAATCACGCCATGCGATCACGACAGCTCCTACCCTGACGTACGCTTTTTGCCACTGTTGGATGAGGATTTGGTGGATAGACATGCTCCCATGATTCGCCAATAAGAAGGTGACACGTGGAATTAAGGTGTGATCCTCAATGCGAGGGCTCTAAGAACCCATCCATCGCCAGGATTTGCGCCGTCATTGGCGGTTGTTGAGAGTTAAGCCGTTCCGCTTAGAGTTGATGATGGCTTATAGGCGTTGGTAGTAACGGTAAATATTACAAATGCTGGCAGGATTGATTGAGACCTCGGGATTGTTCTCAAAGAGTAACGAGAAATGCAGCTCGTCTCTGCCGGAGAGAGGCTTTCGGTCGGATAAGCTACGAAGGCTGGCGGGTGTAACGCAACCCTTGGAATTGTCGATAACAGCTTTGATGTCTCGCGGCCTGTATTATACGAAAGCGGAGTGTACTCATCTGCAGCTCAGCTTGACGAATGGTCAGTTCGAAATTACCGAAATCAAAGGACTACGATCCTGAAAAAGTGGAAAATTCTGACTGGAAGCGCGTCTGGAAGTATTAGTTTAGCTGCTAGAAAGTAGTCAGGCAACGCAGCAAGCAACATAACAGGATAAACGCGAATCGGTATTCTCAAGGGTCGTTCAAGTCATTCTTTGAATGTCAGAGAAGAAAGCAGAAGTTATGGGGAAAGATAATCTCCGCTGGCAAGTAACACCGAACAAAGGGAAGGGAGACTGTTTATATCGATTCTTGACCATGATAGTGGAGATGGAGAGAACTCATTGTGAGGTGTACTCGTACGCTTATGGAAAAAAATGCCTTGACGAAACGCAAAGCAGCTATTGCCGCCCGTCCCTTTCCATCACACGAGAGTCAGATGCTGACCATGCCTCTCGTTTCATGTCCTATAATGCCAGAATCTACCGCCTCTAACTGTGTCCAATCTCGTTGTTTTGAGAAATACTGACACAAGCTGCGTAGCCATAGCCGCACTGTTTCTCAGGTAGGCGTGGCTTGTACTGAAACGCAGACGAACAAAACGACATCAGAGGAAGCTAGCAAAACCACCTGACACGGTGGTACGAGGGACTGTTTTTTTGTCTCATCCCACCGTCCAGTGATCGGCCTTGGTGCTTTGCTGCTGAACAGTAACGGAAGTGGTATCGAGTCGTGCTTTGGATTTCCGGGTATTTCTTGGTGTTGGCACTTAAACCATACGGACCTGCATGGACTTTAGAAACATGAAAATATGGGGGTCTGCACTAAACAGATTACCTGTCAGACAAACATTGGAAAGTGGCCAGTAAACGTGAAGGGCAGCTGCCCAATAAGCCCAAACATCCTACTCTTCGGCCCTGGTCCCCTGCTGCCTTCCCACACAATCGTTTTTTTTTTTCGATCTGTATTTCCAGCTGCCTGTCGCCAATTCTGAAATCAACCTGCGGTGCCCCTGAGGAGCCGAACCGAGCAGTGGCAGCCACCCCCCCAGCTGCTCTCTCCGCCCCACATCACTGGGTGGTGGGGATGTGCCTCGGCCAGTGCAGTACAGGACTGTAGCACATTGCCCTAGACCCTGTCGACCCCTTCGTCTGGTGGTCTGGTAATCTGAAAGTCTGCGCATCCCTGTCTGCCCTTTCTCTCCACTCCCGCACTCTGTTCTCCCTCTAATTCCTGCGTCCTAGCTCTACCCTGAGCTGTGTGATACGTTACAGTACTAGGTTTGAGAGGTAAGCGTCAAATAGTACTGACGTCGTCGCTCGAAGCGCGTTGCGTTTAGTGTTAATACTCTATAGCCATGGAACCGCGTCGCGCTCTCCCATTGATAATAGCACTTGTCATCCCGTGCCTCGTCGCCGCAACTGCCGTCGATATCTCCAAAAAGCCGTACCCTGGCCAGGAAGGCTCGGCCTTCGGGGCTTGCCCTAGTTTTGGCTGCAAGCCCGGGTCGTACGAGAAGGGAATGTTCACTGATAGCGACTCGGAGGACATCGAGTACATGTTCAAATATTCCATGCCGTTTGTCTTCAACGACACCGATTCCCCGTCATGGGATCCGTTATTGACAGACCCGTTCTACGACTGCTGGAAGGTGTGCAGCGATTATAATAAGGAGAACCCCAGCGACACGGTGACTTACTGGCAATATGAAGAGACGTGCGACGTTGGAGGTGCGTGGCGCGGTTGCAAAGCCCGTTGGATTCAAGCTCACTAAGTTATATACCCTTGCATTTACCGTTGTATCTGCGAGGATAGGAGACGTGCGGCATTGGAGGTGCGTTGCGCGGTTGCAGTGCTACTCGATTCTACGCTCTTAAATTACGAGGATAGGACCAGCGGATGTAACGGAATAGATGTTTCAGGTACAGCAGAAAGTACGGGATCCCATTATAGTTTCTCTCATTCATCGCATCCTAAACAAGACATCTAATGTACTTGTCCTCCTCCCACACCTCCTATTTTTTTTCCCCGCTTTTTTCTGTTCGCAGGTGTGTGCGCTTGCTTCGATGAAGGTGTGTGCACACTCGAACACTTCAACCCCGATAACACGATAGATAGCTTTACCGACACTACCGGTGATTACCAGCCGGAATCACGATTCTACGTGGGCAAGATTTGCGATAGCAATGTCACCGGCGACCCTCATTTCGTCGGCGCGGACAAGTCTCGCTTCGATTTCAGTGGCATCCCTAACGAAAACTTCGCGCTGATTACGGATTCGCACGTCCAAGTGAACGCCTTTTTCGGAGGGCGCTGGGCTCGCTGGATGGACAGCGAGCGAAAGGCGCTGACGTGGATGCGAAAGATTGCGATTCTTTGGGGCCACCACTCCATAATTTTCGAGGCTCGCGAAGGCCCGGACCCGAAATATCGCAAGGGTTACCTAGCTTCGTTGACCGTTGACGGAGTGCCGAAGAAGCTGCGATTTCCTGGCGAAAAGATGTACCTGTTCGATGGGCAAGGCGAAGTGAAGTGGGTTGCTGGTGCGAAACCTTCCGGTGGCGATCTGGTTGACGAATACGAAGTTACCGTTGCGGACGTCCTCTCGTTACGGCTGACCCTTCGCCCTGAGATCGAAATGATGAGAACGATTGAAGACGGACTGGTTCACTTCACAGTGGAAGTTCTGAGCGCCAGGCTGTCGGCTAACGTCCACGGCGTGCTTGGTCAAACTTACCGGCCCGACTTCGCTGGCCGATTGTAAGTTTCTGCCTCATTCCCAACAACCCTTTCTTCCAAACTCGTCTCTACATAATCTCGTCAACTAGTCAGTTGTGCTCTCTTTCTGCATTCCTTGTCGCCCCAGTTCGCATTCAATATTCTCTTATTTCATTAATCTCTCTTAGCCCGTTTTTCAGTAAGGTTTTCCTTCCTGAACTTAGTCTCCTTATCTTCTATTTCTCTCTATTTCTGTCCTCCCTTATTTCCACAGGGAGAAGCAAGCCTTGGTGTACAGCAAGCTTTTTAACGCGTACGTAGTGCCTGGGGATAACGCTGATGGTTTCATTGACGGCACTGTAGACGACTACCAAGTCTCGTCGCTGCTGCACACCGACTGCAGTCTCTGCCGGTTCATCCGCGCGCGTTCATTGGACGACGAGACAGCACGGGCAGTTGAACTCAGCACCACTGTAGCCTCTTCCTTCACTGCTTTAGGCAGACGAGCTGCTGCTTAGTTTGTTTCATTATTTTTCTTGCTGCTCTGCAGAGAGTCAAAGCTCAAGTCAAAGCTCATTCTGTGTTGATACTAGGTCTACGGGTTTTGTCATCATGTGAGACCCTCTAGAGCATCAGTATGTCCTGTTCTCTGTGTAACACAACCCGGTTAGAAGTGATAAATTGGCTGAATTTGGTGTCCAATGTTTTGCTTATGGTAGCCTGCCTGCTTGTCTACCGTATGTCCAATCTAGTAGGGAAAAAATCAAGTGATTACTTTATCCACAAACAAATTAGGAGTCTTCAGTCCAGAAAAAAACATAACCATTTATGCACACAAGAGACTTCATAACTCAGACATAACCAAACACTGACGTCGTTTTTTATTGCTGGGCCTTACTAGCTAGCAACGTAGCTTGTTTAGCACTCACCACATCCCAATCTACCCGTCCCACCCACCCTCCTGAAAATCTGAATCATCTCTTATCTAACGCATTTGGCAGGTAGCAGGTAGCTACACTAGGCATCTCTCTCCATATCTCCCTCCAACAGCGCTCCTACGACCATCGCTTGGCGTTCTTGGCCACTTTCCCCTGCGACTGCTTGTTCTGAAACGCCTGTGCCTTCTGTTTCTTCTGTAGCTCCTTCTCCGCCTGTCAGTGGTGGTGGGGGGGGAGGGAAGGGGGGAAGGGAAGGGTGGGCGGAGGAGGGGAGGAGGGGGCATGAGCAGGGGTGAGGGAGGGACACGCCCTGCGAAAGCTTGTTCTGAAACGCCTGTGCCTTCTGTTTCTTCTGTAGCTCCTTCTCCGCCTGTCAGTGGTGAGGGGCACGAGGAGGGGGGGGGGGGGGGGGGGGAAAGGGAGGGTTGAGCTGGGGGGGAAGAGCAGGAAGCTTTGAGCAGGGGAGAGGGAGGGCAACACCCCTGCAATTGCTTGTTCTAAAATGCCTGTGCCACTCAGTGATGGACATCGAGAGGAAAAGCTTTGTTATTACTCAGGGCAATGAGGGTTTGACATTGTACGTGAGGGCTGGACGGGTGTGTATCTTGTGGATGTGGGGGGGGGGACTAGGACTCTGACAAATGCAGGCTTTGACAGGTGCGTTGGACAAGTAGGTTCGACAGGTGAGTCCTCTGCTTCTTCTGCACCTCCTCCACCCCATCTTGCTCACCTTGCTCATCTTGCTCTTGGCCTTCACAACAGGAGCAGCAGCCTCCACCTCGCTCTCCCTCTCCAGCTCCTTGCGCCGTGCCTCCAGGTTCTTCTCCAGGTAGTACTGACGGGGGGAGGGGGGAGGGGAGGGGAAGGGGGAAATGACTCAACAAGAATGCCCCCAACTCCTTGCGCTGTGCCTCCAGGTTCTTCTTCAGGTAGAACTGGCGGGGGGGTAGGGGGAAGGGGAATGGGAGGAGGGGTAGTTGCCTCAGACTACAATCTTTCCAGCTCCTTGCGCCGTGCCTCCAGGTTCTTCTTCAGGTAGTACTGGCGGGGGGTTAAGGAAAGGAGCAGCAACAGTCAGCACATAAAAAAAATGCCTCAGACTCGATTCTCTCCAGCTCCTTGCGCCGCCCCTCCAGGTTCTTTTCCAGGTAGTACTGGCCGGGGGGTGGGGAGGGTGGATTCTCCTCCACTGCCTCCACCACAGGTTCACAACCTGACAAACGAGATGACTAACATTGAAACACTTGAAACACTTGACTTACACATAAATACTTACATTTAAAGCAGATGCACTTAAGTTACAGCCACTACTACACTTGTTAGAGTCAGTCCCCACTCACGTTATAGCCACCACTCACGTTTTAGTCACCACTCACGTTTTAGTCACCACTCACGTTATAGTCACCACTGCAGTCCTGCAGCTTCCTATTCTTCACCTCCACCACTCGGTTCACAATCTGAGACAAGGTGAGGTGACACACTGAAGCCCACCCACTCACGTTATAGTCACCATCCATACAATCCCCCCACCCACTCACGTTGTAATCACCGCTGTAGTCCTGCAGCTTCTTATCCTTCACCTCCACCACTCGGTTCACAATCTGCCGCAGGAAGTAGCGGTCGTGAGAAACTGCTAACACTGTCCCCGAGAACTCCCTCAGCGCTTCCTGTGGAGGGAGGAATAGGAGGTAAGGCACGAGGGGAGAGAGACCGGGCAGGAGAAACGGGTGAGAACAGATTCACAATCTGCCACAGGAAGTAGCGGTCGTGAGAAACTGCTAACACTGTCCCTGTGAACTCCCGCAGTGCTTCCTGTGAAGGGAGGGAAGGGGAAGAAAGAGGAAAGGGGGGGGAGAGGGAGTGAGAACAGATTCACAATCTGCCGCAGGAAGTAGCGATCGTGCGACAGGGCAAGCACCGTCCCTGTGAACTCCCGCAGCGGGTTACAGGAGGACAGGACGGATTATGTGAGGGGGACCACATAAGAGCACCACATATGTGAGGGGGTCCAACAACTGTCGGTGGCGAGGGGGACTGCTGTGCCGACTACCGGAAAGAGCACCTCCAGCACTAGCAGCACGTCATTTCGGGCCTGTCCGTGGCGGGAGTATCCAGGTGGTTGGTTGGCTCGTCCAGCACCAGCAGCAACTCTCTCTCACACCACCTTACAACCCCTACCACCCCACTACATCCCCCTACCAACCCCCACCACCCCTCGCACCGCTCTCCACCGCTTTCAACCCCTCACCTCGAGCATCTCCTTGGTGGGAATGTCCAGGTGGTTGGTAGGCTCGTCCAGCACGAGCAGCGTTGCCGGAGTGACCATGAACTTGCACAGAGCGAGGCGGGCCTGGTGGAGGGAAGTGGGGAGAGGGTGGGAGGGAGGGAGGAGGGGAGGAGCAGGTAAGGAGAAGGGGCAGGGGGTTATGACTTAGACTGATCGCGACTCGTCCAGCACAAGCAGCGTTGCCGGGGGGACCATGAACTTGCCAAGGGCCAGACGGGCCTTTTGAGACGTCTCAAAACTTGCACAGGGCCAGACGGGCCTCTCTCTTCTCCCTGCCCCTCTGCATACCCCCTGCAAGCTCGCTCACCTTCTCGCCGCCACTGAGAAATTGCACCTTGCGCCTCAGAGTGTCGCCCTTGAAGTTGCACCAACGGTGAGATCATATCAAGCCACCAGGCCATTTCCCACAACCACCACCCCTCACAGCCAATAGTCAGCACAGGCACTCTTGATCGTTTCCACACCCTCTTCCCCCACCCCCTTCCCTCCCCCTCCCTCCCCTCCTCTCCTTACCCTGCCCCTGTGCAAGCTCACCTTCTCCCCGCCACCGAGGAACGCCACCTTGCGACGCAGGGTATCGCACTTGGAAGTTGCACCTGCGGGAGATAAACCCAAACGACCTTTCCCCCCTTGATTTCTCCCCACACCGCCTCTACAAGCTCACCATCTCCCCGCAACTCAGGAATGCCACCTTGCGCCTCAGCGTATCGCCCTTGAAGTTGCACCTGCGGGAGATTAACCCAAACCAACCACCTTCCATCACAGCATCCTCCCCTCGGCCTCCCCTCTGCAAGCTCACCTTCTGAGGAATGCCACCTTGCGCCTCAGAGTATCGACCTTGAAGTTCCACCTGCGATGAGATCAGCCCAAGCCACCTTTCCCCCCTTGATTTCTCCCAACACCGCCTCTACAAGCTCACCTTCTCCCCGCCACTCAGGAATTGCACCTTGCGCCTCAGTGTATCGCCCTTGAAGTTGCACCTGCGGGACAAAGGGGAACGGGGGAAAGGGGAGAAGGGGGAAAGGGGAGAAGGGGGAAAGGGGAGAAGGGGGAAAGGGGAGAAGGGGAAAGGGGA